CCTCACTGCTTACTTTACATTGAATGTTTGGTATATGGGTTGTTACATCACAAAAACGGGCTTATACATCCATCAATCAGCGACTAGGTCCATGGATTTTACAAAATCTTACATCTAGCAGCTCTTTCGTGGGAGTTCGTGCTGGAGTTCCCGGCGTGGTCTCAGAGCATCCGTCAAACTGTCACTCCGAAATGGCATTTGTCGTTGTGCTCACAATAGCATATGTCGTAATGCGCTTTGACCCTATTATGTTGACACACTGGATGCATGTATAAGATGCGTCGCATTTGGTGGATAGAAAACCAGATCAACTAGTAATATTTGATTCTTAATTTGATGGATTGGTATCCCGTTTTTGAGAAAGATCAGATGAAACGCCTTGCAATTCTTACCCTCGTAGGAACTAACCACGAGGAAAAGGTGATTCCATTATCCGACCTCATCATCGTCACCGTCGATGACGATGTTTACGAGGGTGTCCTTATTCTCGATTGAACAATCAAAACCTAATGATGATTCTGGCAGAAATTCGCGATCCCCATTTTCGTTTACCCGTAAGTGGATCTTGCAAGATTTTGGTGTGCTTGTATTTATCCGAGGTGAGTTGGATGCACAAATTTCCAGGTTGACTGGTACATTCAACAAGCAAGGACTCGGCCAATTGTGAGTGGTCTGCAACTTAGCCAGTCAGAACGAGGAATACGCGTTGCGGGTAAACAATATATGTATGTTTGAGGTTACGAAGCACCCAAGTATCAGCTAAATGACAAACATTGCTTTGAACCACGTACTCCTCTTGTTCGCAGTGGCCAAGTTGGCTGGCTCCGATGAATGCCAAACAAGCCCTCTCCATCTATGGATGCACTGTGAATCCGGCAAGCATCGATGGTCGACTAGTGAAAACCGTAAGCTGCTGGGAGCCGTTACGGGATATATTGAGTACTCGAGCCTCGCAAATTGCCGATTCATTTGCGAGCAGAATCCTCGCTGTGAGATGTTTCAATACGGAATAGACGACAGGGTAAGGACACCATTATGTTATCAATAGATTTGTCAAAATATCCGAAGTTGCATGCTAAGGCTTTCATTGATTCAACGTGTACTCTAGCTTTTAGTCTATTTTACATTGAAATTGTCGGGAAATCGTTACAAAACTTGAACTTACAAGCGGTTGTTATTGCGCGCATACAGTGACTTGAGAATTGGAACTAATAAGCCTCGTTTACCTGACATACTTCTTACAAACCAGTTGAAAACTTCGTTAGCTGCGTGCCAGTTTTGATCTCATCGCGGTTCATCAGATAAACACTGAGTTTCAAATAACCTCGAGACGTAGTCCGATACGTAGTCTATCGTACCGATGTTATGAAAGCAACAATCTTCCTGTAACAACTTCTGTTGAATTAAATCCTGAAGGAGCTTTGCGGTTGTGCATTAGGTGACCATATTTTATTTGAGAAATTTTCGCATTCAATCGATCACATCACCAGCCTGTAGGACGGATTCAAAGAACGGGAGGATGTTAAGTGAATAGATAATGTGTGATACTTTTCCAGCTCAGGTAATATCATTTAAAACGCTTTTGACTTGCCACCATTTTGGGCTGGACACATTCTGACCCATTCGTTGAATGCGGCTCATTCTTGCAACACATCAGACATCTGAACAAAGTTGCTTGGATCCGAAAAGCTGAATTGAGACCACCGAATAAAATCTTAGTACCGCTGAAACGAGATATGCAGGTAACACGGTATAGATAGCCAAGAGAAGAATGAAATTGAGGCGCGTGAATTGAGCAGAATACAGTGGAAAATACAAAAATACTGTCGGTTACTAATTAAACCCTAACCTGTTCATTTTCGGCCCAAGACACTCAGTGTTTATCACGACGAACGCTAAACACACACTATTCATCATTTTATGAGCATTGCGAAAATGTTAGACTAGAGAACATTTCACAAACTCCATGTATCTGACATTGTGCAGGCGATAAAACCTCAGAGAAATGTCATTAGAAAATGTTCCGTGGCACGGAATGACAATAACCAGGCGCATGACCGTCCGAAAGCATTCTTGCAGCTCACGTACTCAGATGTGTATGCGGTCTTGGGTACTTGGGCTCGCCGGAGTATGCTCATCACCGTCAGGTTGTTAGTTTGTTGCTGAACAAATTCTGACTTCGTCTACATATTGTTAAACCCCAATAGTTTGCACGTTGTTATGTAAATGGCATGGCTCACCAAAACTGGCTGGCTGGCAAAACATGAGACTGTTGCTTGAGAAAGAATATGGGGTCAATCATTGGTGAATTTCGAATTTATAACCCTGAGTATTTGTGGGATTTTGGATGACACGGATCGCTTTGTTCTAAGGATCGATGTACTATTCACTGTGTACGATTTCACTTACAGTAAATTCCATTACGTATGTTCTAAACGATTCCATTCTACTCCTCTGATTCCTTCTTTGCTCTACGCAGACTTGCATTTGGCACTATAAATTAAGAAATTCCATGAAAACATCCAATCAAAATTCTACCTGTACGCACCTTAAGTCAAACTTCTGTTCCGTAAGCTGTTTACCTTTCACCACTTGTAAACCGCTCTTGTAATACCAAATATTAGATTCATCTTATATTAGCGTTTCCTGAGTTACCGTGTTT